GCCTTACGCTCGCTGCAACATTCATCATCCATGCTTCACACCCAATATGAGTGTTGTAAAAACTATACTCTCATACATTCCCCTCTTTGCCTCAAGGCCAAGTTCTTTGTCGCCACAGACTCCTAAGTGCACCACTCACCTTTTCCCTCCATCAATCTATGATTCACCTCATCTTTCATAGACCCTTCGTGACAGTCTCTCCAAATATATTGAATACATTTCATTCCTACATATCTTCCCTCCAATCTGATATCCAATCTTTCATTACATAATCATTTTGTTATTCTCATAACTTCACTCTTTCCTGTATTCACTTTTAATTTTCTTTTTTGCACACCCTACCAAATTCATACACAAATCTCTGAAACTTCTCTTCAGAATTCTCCAAGAGCACAGCGTCATCAGCAAAGAGCAACTGTGACAACTCCCACTTTGTGTGTGATTCTTAAACTTTTAACTCCACGCCTTTTGCCAAGACCCTCGCATTTACTTCTCTTACAACCCAATCTATAAATATATTAAACAACCATGGTGACATCACACTTCCTTGTCTAAGGCCTTTCTTTTACTGGGAAATAATTTCCCTCTTTCCTACATACTCTAACTTGAGCCTCACTATCCTCGTAAAACTCTTCACTGCTTTCAGTAACCCACCTCCTTTCACCATACACCTGCAACATCTGCCACATTGCCCCCCTATCCACCCTGTCATATGCCTTTTCCAAAACCATAATGCCACAAAGACCTCTTTAGCCTTATCTAAATACTGTTCACTTATATGTTTCACTGTAAACACCTGGTCCACACACCCCTAACCTTTCCTAAAGCCTCCTTGTTCATCTGCTATCCTATTCTCCGTCTTACTCTTAATTCTTTCAATAATAACTCTACCATACACTTTACCCGGTTTTACTCAACAGACTTATCCCCCTATAATTTTTGCACTCTCTTTTGTCCCCCTTTGCCTTTATACAAAGGAACTATGCATGCTCTCTGCCAATCCCTAGGTACCTTACCCTCTTCCATACATTTATTAAATAATTGCACCAACCACTCCAAAATTTTATCCCCCCCTGCTTTTAACATTTCTATCTTTTTCCCACAATCCCGGCTGCCTTACCCCCTTTCATTTTACCTAAATGCCTCATGAATTTTCCCCCACACTCTCAACTGGCTCTTCCTCACTCCTACAAGATGTCATTCCTCCTTGCCCTACACACGAAATCACAGCTTCCTATCTTCATCAACATTTAACAATTCCTCAAAATTTCCCTCCATTTCCAATACCTCTAACTCTCCATTTAATAACTCTCCTCTTCTTTTTTTAACTGACAAATCCATTTGTTCTCTGGTTTTCCTTAACTTGTTAATCTCACTCCAAAACTTTTTCTTATTTTCAAAAAATTTGTTGATAACATCTCACCCACTCTCTCATTTGCTCTCTTTTTACATTGCTTCACCACTCTCTTAACCTCTCTCTTTTTCTCCATATACTCTTCCCTCCTTGCATCACTTCTACTTTGTAAAAACTTCTCATATGCTAACTTTTTCTCCTTACTGCTCTCTTTACATAATCATTCCACCAATCGTCCTCTTCCCTCCCGCACCCACTTTCCTGTAACCACAAACTTCTGCTGAAAAACACTAACACTTCATTTTTAAACTACCCCATACCTCTTCGACCCCATTGCCTATGCTTCATTAGCCCATCTATCTATCCTCCAATAGCTGTTTATATCTTACCTTTAACTGCCTCCTCTTTTAGTTTATAAACCTTTACCCTTTTCTTCCCTGATGCTTCTCTTCTCCTTGTACCCCATCTACCTTTTACTCTCAGTGTAGCTACAACTAGAAAGTCATCTGATATATCTGTGGCCCCCCTATAAACATGTACATCCTTAGTCCCACCCCAACGTTTTATCTACATGTTTCTAATACATAATCCAACAAACTAAAACCCCGTAATTTTGCCCTACAACATATCTTTTTTATACTTATTTTTTCCTTTTTTCTTAAAATAAGTTTTAAACCAATTTAAATAAACCCATTTTTTTACAAAATTTTAAACAAAGGGGTCCCCTTATAAATTTTCACCTGGGCCCCAACTTCCTTTCCCCAAAAACCCCTCTAAAAAATTTCTCCCACTTTTGCATTCAGATCCCCCCCACCACAATTACTCTCTCACTTGGTTTAAAGGCTCCTTTACAAATTTACTTAACAAACTCCCAAAAAACTCTTTTCTCCCTCACATTCCTCTCTTCTCCAGGTGATAAAACCTTTTTTATGACCCCCTTTTCACATCCAACCCTTTTCCCTTTAAAACCCCATAAATTCCCTTTAAATTTTTCACATTCATATTTCTTTTTTTCTCCCCTTTCCCTAACTGTCCTTAAAAAATTACCCGCAAACCCCCTTCCCTTTTCTCTAACTCTCTCAGTTACTGCAGATTTAAAACCCATTTATTTCCCCCCCCCCCGAAAAATCCCTACCCCCCTTAGCTTTGTTTTTGTTTGGGCCGGACATCCAACTTTTTAACAAAAAAACATTTAAAAACGGAATCTCTGTTTTTTTCTCCGCACTTCAAACCACGCACATTTCAAGAAACCCCCAAATTTTTTAAAATTTTTCTTTTCTTTTTTAGTAAAAGTTTTACAGGGGAAGGGTTACTAGCCCTTGCTCCCCCCATTTTAGTCGCCCCATACGACTTTCATGGTTACGGAAAAGTTCCTTTTTCCCTTCCCCCCCTGGGGCAATAGAAGAAATTAAAAAAGAAAAAGAGCTTTTAGAAAAAGGGGAAAACCAAAATTATGTATTTTATTTGCATGTGGTGTCTGTGAAGTGTAAAAAACCAAAATGTAAGAAAGGGGTTTGCCAAAGAAATCCCTGTTATTTTACGGGGTTTTTGAGACCGAAAAAAAAAAAACCAGCAATCCTACCTTTATGCAAAAAATTACAGGGTTTCCCGTTTCAAAAAGTTTTACTGGGGAGGCGGTAGTCTTCCCGGGGTTTGGTTTTCTGGCCATTTTTCCCGGGAAAAATTTTCAAAAAAAAACAGTGAAAAAAAAATGGAGGCAAGGAAAAAACGATTACGTCCCATTTTCGTTTAAAAGATCCTAATAAAGTTTTGGTAGAATTACCACAAAATGTTTAAAAAATTAAAAGGACAAAGTGCAACTATTGTGACATTTTTTATTGTGGCAACGTTTCGCCTCCAGGCTTGACAAAGCTCCCGGAGAGGAAAAATTGCCCCAATTTTAAAAGCCACATTTTTTGTTCGGGATTTCCCTTTTTCTTTTGTAAAAAAAGGGTTTCCCACACAAATGTTGTGTTTCCATTGTAAAAGTTCAAGTCACTTTTCATAATAATTTTCTGGGTGTAAGCCCAATGTCCAAAAAATGAAACCCAAAAGTCGAGGGTTTTCTGCATTTTTTTTATAAAACCCCCTGGCTGTCTCCCCCGGGTAGGGCGAACAGAAAAAGAAAAAAAAACTTTTTTCACCCAAACAAATTTACTTCACTGCCTGCCCGAGGCAAAGCCCAAAATTTTTTTTCTTTGGGTACCCCTCCAAACTGTAAAATATTGCCACCCCTTTTTCGAGTGCCCTACACAGTATGTCCTACCAAGGGCTCAATTTTAGCTAATGGTGTTCCCGAATTTTCCCTTTAAAACTTCCCCTTTTCACCCCAAAAACCCCTTAATTTTCCCGAAAAATTTGCCCCCACTCACTCATGCCGCTGGAATAAATTAAAAAAAAAATAGGGTTTTAAAAACCTTTTATACACCCTTTTAAGAATTTTTGAGAGTATATCTTAAATCTCGAGCCTGGCCAAAGGGCCCCGGCTCATCTGGGCTGCCCGGTCAACCCGGTGTTGCTGCTGGGGGCCCGGGGCCCCCCAAAAATTTCCTTAAAAGCCTGGTTTTATCTGGCAACCCGGTGGGAAAATACTTTTCAAATTTCCTCTTGAAGGCTTCAAAATTTGTTCCAGCAGTGTTTCTGATATCTTCTGGTAAGATGTTGAAAAGTCTGGGACCCCGGATGTTGATACAGTGTTCCCTTATTGTCCCCACCGCACCCCTGCTCCTCACTGGGTTTATTTTACACTTCCTCCCATATCTCTCACTCCAGTATGTTATGGCAGTGTGCAGGCTTGGGACCAAGCCCTCAAGTACCTTCCAGGTATATATTATCATGTACCTCTCTCTCCTCTGCTCCAATGAGTACATGTTCAAGACTTGCAGGGATTCCCAGTAGTTTAGGTGCTTTACTGGCTCAATGTGAGCCGTAAACAATCTCTGTATTTGTTCCAGCTCCAATATTTCTCCTGCCCTGAACAGGGCTGTCAGCACTGAGCAATATTCTAAGTGAGGGGGCACTAGTGATTTGAAGAGTGTCACCATCGGCATTGTTTCCCTTGTTTTGAAAGTTCTCAATACCCTCCCAGTCATTTTCCTGGCTGTTGTAATCTTTGTCTTGTTATGGTCTTTAAAAGAAAGGTCCACTGACGTAATTATTCTTAGGTCTTTTACAGGTTCCTTACGTTCTATTTGGTGACTCTCTTGTATGTAGTGTATATAGTGCTCTTTTTGAGTTCTTCATTCTTTCCATACCTAAGCAGCTGGAACTTATCACCATTGAACATCATGATGTTTTCCACTGCCCACTGGAAAACCCTGTTAATGTCTTCCTGTACTTTTTCAGTGTCCTCTACCATACTGACTTTCATGCTTATTTTAGTGTCATCTGCAAATGATGATACAAAAGTTTGCCGGGTGTTTTTGTCTATGTCTGCTATGAGGATGAGGAACAGCAGAGGTGCCAAGACAGTGCCTTGGGGCACTGAGCTTTTGACCTCGCTGATGCTGGATCTTGCCCTGTTCACTTTATATAACCTACAATTTCATTAGTTTTTGAGCCTTTTCAATCATTCATTTTCTTAGATTATGCCCATGTTAATTATATTTCTAGTATACTGATAAAAATCTACTATCAAGAGTGTTACCTAGCAAACTCGATGACAGCAGCTTGCAGACCAAGACACACTCCAAGGAAAGGTTTCTTGGTTGTTCTTGCCCATTTACAGACTGCCACCTTTCCTTCCACTCCTCGCTGACCAAAGCCTCCTGGAACGATGATGCCACTGAAAGAAAACACTGTTGCGGTATTTCCAATAACTGAAACTAAATATTTTACACAAGAATTTACAGTTAAATAAAATTCTTGAAGGCATAATAGATGCCTACAATTAAATCATAATTTTTGCCTCAGAAAATCTGCAATTCATAAATAAAGTTGCATTCTCATAACATAATATCCAAATGCCTGAAGCTTTTGTAGCACAGCAGAATATATTTAAGATTTATTTTTAGTATTTGTCCCTTCAACAAATATAACAAATTTAGAAAAGGGTCATTCCATGTCCAGTGGTCCAATTTTGAAAATTATCCCACGTGACTATCTCCAATTTCACTAAAATTTTACATGAAGGTCAGCATGTATATCAAACTAACTTTGGGAATATTTTAGTTCATGATATGCAATAATAATAATGCTATGGCCCTCAGAGTGGAGGCAGGTGAAAATTTCACCGACTCACTGCACACAATCAACAATGTTCGAGTTACTGCTGTGGCAGATCTTGAAAAGCAAAAGTCGTGCAAGTAGACATGCCTATACAAATTTGAAGCTGATTTCAAAAATTCAGTCTTAAACCTTAAGAGTGATGATAGGGGGGTAGCAATTTACTTTTTTTCACAATGCAAAGCCAAAGTAGGAGAAAAAAAAAAGTTGCATAAAATTGAACCTTGAAATCAGCTGCCTGTATCTCTAGAGGAAAACATTATTTCAGTATGACATTATTGTAGCCAGGTACCCAAGTGGACATCATCACAATCCTAAAACCTCAGACTCCATACATTTTTAGTTCCTGAGCTAATGGTACCAAAAAATGCTCTTGTAGACCTCATGGTGAATTTAGGCCATTTTTGAAGCCTAATAAAAAAAAAAAAGCACAACCAATTTTCTTAAAAGAACCTTCACTATAAAGAGCAGATTCTAAACTGGACAGGTGTATCACCCTTGAAAGGAAAAAAAAATCCTTAAAATAAGGTGATTTTTGGCTTGTGCAATGATATAATGAAAACCAGGCATTTTTCAGTTGCTGTTGTCATAGAGCAACAGCTGCTAGAACCTCGTGTTCAGGTGTCCTTATACAATTTTCGGTGCCGATTTCAGGAATCATGTGAATAGATTGTTTTTTTTATTTTTATTAACGCACCAACCGTTTCCCACCAAGGTAAGGTGGCCCGAAAAAGAAAAACTTTCACTATCATTCACTTCATCACTGTCTTGCTAGAGGCATGCTCACACTACAATTATAAAACTGCAACATTAACACCCCTCCTTCAGAGTGCAGGCATTGTACTTCCCATCTCCACGATTCAAATCCGGCATGCTGGTTTCCCCGAATCCCTTCATAAATAGCATTACAATGCTCACACTCCAACAGCACGTCAAGTCCTAAAAACCACTTGTCTCCAATCGCTCCTATTTAACATGCTCACGCATGCTTGCTGGAAGTCAAAGCTCCTCGCACACAAAACCTTCTTTACCTCCATACTCCAACCTTCCCTAGGCCGACCGCTTTCCCTCCATTACAGATTTATACACTCTCGAAGTCATTCTATTTCCTTCCAACTTCTATACATGTTCGAACCACCTCAACATCTCCTCAGCCCTCTGGATAATAGTTTTGGTAATACCACAATTCCTCCTAATTTCCAAACTATGAATTCTCTGAATTATATTCACACCACACATTGCCCTCAGACATGACATCTCCACTGCCTCCTGCCGTCTCCTTGTTGCAACATTCACCACCCATGCTTTGCACCCATATAAGAGCATTGGTGTAACTATACCCTCATACATCCCCCCCTCTTTGCTTTGATGGACAAAATTCTTTGTCTCCACAGACTTCTCAGCACTCTACTCACCTTTTTCCCCTCGTCAATTCTATGATTAACCTCATCTTTCATAGAGCCATTTGCTGACACGTTCACTCCTAAATATCTGAATACATTCACCTCCATACTCACTCCCTCCAATCTGATAACCAATCATGCATGCGTGAGCATATTTGATAGGAGTAAATGTAGACAAATGATTTTTAATACTTGACATGCTGTTGGAGTGTGAGCAAACTAACATTTATGAAGGGAATCAGGGAAACCAGCAGGCCGGACTCAAGTCCTGGAGATGGGAAGTACAGTGTCTGCACTCTGAAGGAGGGGTGATGATGAAAGTTTTTCTCATTTGGGCCATACTGCCTTGGTAGGAATCGGCCAATGTGTTAATAAATAAAAAAAAAAAAAACCCTGTTACTCTCTTCTATATTCACTTTTAATTTTCTTCTTCTACAAACCCTACCAAACTCATCCACCAACCTCTGCAACTTCACTTCAGAATCTCCCAAAAGCACAGTGTCATCAGCAAAGAGGAACTGTGACAACTCCAACTTTGTGTTAGATTTTTATCTTTTAAGCTCACACCTCTTGCCAATATGCAAGCATTCACTTCTCTTAAAACTTCATCTATAAATATATTGAACAACCATGGTGACATCACACATCCTTGTCTAAGGCCTACTTTTACTGGGAAATAATCTCCCTCTCTCCTACATACTCTAACCTGAGCCTCACTATCCTCGTAAAAACTCTTCACAGCTTTCAGCAACCTACCTCCTATTCCATACATATGCAACATCTCCCCTATCCATATGCCTTTTCTAAATCCATAAATGCCACAAAAACCTCTTGACCCTTATCTAAATACTGTTCACCTGTTTCCCTGCAAACACTTGGTCAAAACCCCTCCCTACCCTTCTTAAAGCATCCTTGTTCATCTGCTATCCTACTCTTCATCTTACTCTTAATTCTTTAAATAATAACTACCATACACTTTACCAGGTATACTCAACAGACTTATTCCCCTATAATTTTTGCACTCTCTTTTGTCCCCTTTGCCTTTATACAAAGGAACTATGCATGCTCTCTGCAAATCCCTAGGTACCTTACCACTCTTCCATATATTTATTAAATAAAAGCTCCAACCACTCCAAACCTATATCCCCACCTGCTTTTAAGATTTCTATCTTTATCAATCCCAGTTGCCTTACCCCATTTCATTCTACCCACTTGTCTCACGAACTTCCCCCACACTCACAGCGGGCTCTTCCTCACTCATACAAGATGTTATTCCTCCTTGCTCTATACCCAAAATCACAGCTTCTCTGTCTTCATCAACATTTAACAATTCCTCAAAATATTCCCTCCATCTTCCCGATACCTCTAACTCTCCATTTATTAATTCCCCTCTCTTATTTTTAAATATCAAATCCATTCATTCCCTAGGTTTCCTCAACCTGTTACTCTCTCTCCAAAAAGTTTTCTTATTTTCAACAAAATTTATTGATAACATCTCACCCACTCCCTCATTTGCTCTCTTTTTACATTTCTTCACCATTCTCTTAACCTCTCTCTTTCTCTCCATATACTCCTCCCTCCTTGTATCACTTCTAATTTAAATCTAGTTATACTCTAATTCTTGTAAACAACTTATATAACACCTTAGTGCAATTACAATTGAGAGTCTTGTGCCTTTTTTTATATCATTAGATTAAACTCAGTTGTACTATAGCTCATTCTAGTTCAATACATAGTCAATACCAAATTCATTATATTAGACCATAGTGTAATTACTAGCGAGAGTCTGGTGCTATTTTTGATTTGTATTTTTAAATTATTAGATTAAACCTAGTTGTACTTTAGCTCATTCCAGCACAACACATAGACAACACCAACTCCATTATGAGTATTAGTGACTATACTCTACATGACCAAAATGCTATAGCTATATACTTGTCCAAACTTCCCACCACTACAGATATCAGTACTAAAACTCAACACACAACTCAGGATATAAATAACCATAATTTAAACCTAGAAGATGATTGATCACGTTGACCCTGATCTAAACCTCCATAATCTGACACACAACCAAAACCTATTGGAAAGTAAATGCCTTTACTACACAGCATCACAAGCCAGCACTATCCTAAACAACGCTAAAAGTCTATCAGTACTTTAATACAACATCAGGTCCTTAAGCAAACACTATGATGACCTCCTGGCACTCCTTGAATCACTAAAGACACCCTTCTCCTGCATTATTCTTAATGAGACCTGGCTTAAGCAGGACACAATAGATATCTACCCTCTACCAGGATACACAGCAATCCACAACTGCAGACCATACCAAGTTGGGGGTGGTATTGCAATCTATTACTCTAACCAATTATCTTGTATTAGCACCACTTGCTTTAGTGATGAATATGGAGAATACATTTTTGCTAATTTTACTGCAAAAAACCTTAAGACGCCTATAACAATCGGTGCCATTTACCGGATACCCCACACAAACATCCCAAATTTCAGTGAGAAATTAAAGGAACTAATAACAAACAGACAAATGAGTAAGCACCACCTTCTCTTAGCTGGAGATTTCAACATCAACCTTGGCCTACTAGATGATCAGCCTGTAACTGATTTCATCAACAATATGAACAACACACTTCTCATACCAACAATAACTAAACCAACCAGGCTCACTGAAACAAGTGCAACCATAATAGACCACATATGGACCAATATACTAGCCCCCCTTAAATCAGGGATAATCACAGATAGCACTACAGACCACTACCCTACCTTCCTCTTGACAAACATTAGTAAACCACCACTTGAATACAACAAAGTTTCATTTAAACTCCATGATGAGGCCTCAATAAGGAAGTTCACAGCTGACCTAGAGACTGTTGACTGGCCTACAGAATTCTCCAAGGCCAATGGTATTGATGACTGGACAGACATTTTTCTTAACAAATTACTTAGACTATACAACAAACATTGTCCTATAAAAACGAAACAGATCACAAACAAACGGCTTGGTTGCCCATGGCTAACCAGCACCATTCTGAAATCCATTGATAAGAAACACCAATATGAAAAGCAATATAGACAGGGCCTAATACACAAAGATATTCTTAAACACTATTCATCAGTCCTCACTAAAGTAATAAAG